GAGTCAGAGGGACACCTAAAGGGATTGGTATTAGAGAATTTTTTGGCTCTGCTTCACAAAGAAGCACTGGATCATCCTCTGCTAACATGGTATCTAAAGAGGAGCTCGACTAACGATTACAGGAAGAAACAGAGAAAGCTCGAGCTGAACTCAGTCAACAACATATGGTAGAAATGCAAAGATACATGATGAATTCGATGCCAAGTTTCAACAGGCTCTGATGATGATGGGCACGAGCGGATCCCAGATGCCCCGAGTATCTAAACCTTCCTAGGTAATAATCACACATCTTTTCAAATCTTCTAAGGGTTCATTTGATCCATTTAAACTTATTCAATGTGCCTTAACTAATTTCATATTATGTTTCAGGGTTCACCTGTGATAAAAAGCGGGAAAGGCAGTAATAATCAGACACAGCAACTGACAGTGTCTAACCCTGACCCTAGCCCTAACCCTGTTGAAGACAATAGGATGCCGTGTACTCTCTTTGTGGATTATGAAAATTCACCTGTTCATGTCACTAGTGGTCGAGCATTCATGGGCACAACGATTCACGGCAACAAAATTTCGAGCGATCAAGCAAGGGTGACAGTAGTGAGGATTGTTCATGGCCAGGGCGATACACCAGTGCCCAATCTTACTGATGAGGTTCAACTCTTGGCCCAAGCTAAAAGACATTTCATTTTGTGGCCAAGGAGACTTATTGCAAAGCCAATGGTGAAGAAGGCGGCAGCGAAGAAGGCCATAAAGAGCACATCATCAAATCTTGTACTCCTGCCTCTTCCTAGTGATGTTGTGCTCATGTAATCCAGTTTGGAGGTTCTTCATTCTGTAATGCCAAACATGGATAAGCCTATTACTTTCAAGATGCCGTTGGGATTGTGGGTTTAGATATAATATACAACTTCACCATTGACAAGAAGGACCTCGTTTAGTTCCTCAACTTTGAGGAGCTTGATATAGTCTTCATGCAGCTTGCTATTTTGTAAGTTACAATATCATTTTCTTATTTCATATTATGCTTTATGTATGTCCTAATGTTTCTTATTTGAACAACAGGCATTTTACTCAAATCTGTCGGAACAGAGGACTTGAAGGAACATATGGTTTTATGTGTTTTCAAAGGGTACAGAAAGAGCTTAATACTGTGGAAGCGAGGTCGATCTACATGATGACCACAATGACTCAGACTAGAAAGCCATATATTTTGTACCTTACGTGGAAGGGTAAGTGTATTATTATATCTGAGATACACAAGTTGCATGTGTAGGATGATAATTAACATGGTTTGTCTTTTGCAGTTATCATTAGACTCTAATTGTTTGTGCCCCTTTCGATAACAAAGTTTACTGGTTCGATTCACTATGTGGAAGTCCATTCGAAGAAACCAAAGATGTCATCGACACGTTAGTTTATGTTTATATATTTATTATGTGTGAAGTTTATAAAAACATGCTCTAATATCATTTTCTTTTATACTGTTGATAGAGCTTTTCATGGTTTCAATGTTATGGTGATTAAACAAAATAGACAGCTACTAACATGGATTCTCCCAAAGGTATATTATTTTGAACTAAATATATACTTTTAAACCTTTTTAGATGAATCAAAGTTAATGTTTATAATCAATAATGTCTAATATTCAATTTTATGTTTCATTTTCTTAGTACCGTTGTCAACAAAGACATGTTGAATGTGGATATTATGTCAGCTGCTACAAGAATGACATCATTGAGATAGGAGTGACTGAGAAATTAGACGAGGTAAAGATAAGTTACATTGTATGACATTCTTCAACTCATTTCACATTTTTTATTAAGTTTACTATGTGATTTTTTATTAACAGATATTTCAAAATACTGTGCCATATCCCATGGATGACATCAACTTGATGAGGGACACTTTGTCAACAACATTGGTACAAAATATTAAAACTTTCAAATAGTTAGGTCACTTCCCAAAAAATTCATTGTTAGATATTTTCTCTTGGTTCCCTCCTATACATGTTCATTATTTCTATTGTATAGACAGAAGTAGTTACTTTTCTTTCAAGATGCTGGTTCTCTTGGTTCCTATACATGTTCTTTGGTCTTAGGCTCCCCTTAATTCTCTTGGTTCTCTATTTTTGCTTTGTGTAAAAGAAACTTCAATACTTGATGTATATATTAACTAACTAATTGATTACTTGTTCATATGGTCTTGTTCTGCATATTCTGCACTGCCTACATTTATTTGGAACTGTAAACTGTAAGGTGGTAAAAAAGAAAATCATGCAGAGTTTAAAAGAAAAAAATTTTAACAGCGGTTATTAAAATAACCGCCGTTAAAACCATTTTCCACGGCAGTCATTTAAGGAACCACCGTGTAAAGTTAACTTTCCACGGCGGTTTTTTGGGTAACTGCTGTGGAAATCTAACTTTCCACAGCGGTTTCTTACGTAATCGCCGTGGAATTTTAACTTTTCACAGCGGTTTGATTTTCCACAATGGTTCTCAACTGCCATGTTTTGTTTACTTTTCAACATCGACTGTATCAACATCGCCTTCAAAACCTCTGTGAAAAACCACTATTAACTGTCGTTAAAAGCTTTTTTTCTGGTAATTGATGTTCTTAATCATATATGGAAAGAAACATTGCCTTGTCAAATGATGTTTTTTTTCCTTCCATGCACGACTCATGTTAATTTTGTTGGCTGTTTCTATCTGCTACTAAACTTTACAGTCACTAATAGACCGAAAGATGTATCCTATATTGACAAATACATACACACGATGCTTACTGCCTTCGGTATTTATGACAACTTTTATATGCATTATTTAGTCCCAAATATGTGGCAATATGTAATATTAATTTGTCTTTTTATTTATATGTATGTGTGAGTTGCATATTAGTGTCTAGTGTGTAGGGTTTGGTTGGTCAGTTTTCAAAATAAAACCACTAACGTCTAGAATTTAACAAGTGTCTAAAAGAATCTAACGTAGTTTTTGACATTAATACAATAAATAAGAATGTAATTGAAAACAAATGTCATTTCATCTTGAAAGCCTTTATTCACTAGATTACTTTTATCTTATGAGTGCCTACATGGGTTCTAGAACTATATATGTTCTAGAGTTGATTCTTCAAGCTTTGGCTTGTCTTTGTACTACTATTAAAAAACAAAAAATGCAACTAATTTTCTTTTCAAGTTATATGAATTAGTTAGAATTACCTTATGAATCAAGAGTTATATTATTTCATGGGTTAGCCCTCAATTTTATAGAACCATATCACATTGTACAAATTCAATAGTTTTACCAGTTGCAATGTCTCTTTCAATTGATAATCTAAAATATAGTATTCATTAATATGAACTCTCAACATTTTCAACGCATCCAGTATTGTTTATATTCTACCGATATATATTAGACTTTTTTTGGGAGGGGGGTGGGAATTCAAAAGCCCAATGTCTAAATCAAAATTAGAAAAATGCGTACCTTATATAATGATTATGATCGGAGTAGTTGACCGTAAGTATTTAAGGTCAAACATTAGAAAAGCCATTATTTGGCCAAAAGCATTTGCTTCATTGACCCGCCAATTGGACCAAAATTTATGGTCTATGCTTTGTATCTGAGTCATGACGTTGAAAGAAACGCAAAAATCTGTTTCGGTCCAACAAAATCTCTCTCTCCTCTTTTCCAATATTCCTTTGAATCTAATTTTTCCATTACACACGCGTCTAAATTTGGATTTCCAAATTCACAAAAGCGCGTGTATAAATATTTGATAATTAATGGATGAAAAACAGATATTTGGACTTACGAGCTTTTAGTTTTATTTTTTAATTTGATGAAATATCTTTTCATTTATCTAACTCTACATTAGTACATTATTAGTATCAAATAATAATTTTGTTAACAATAACTATTATATTAAAAATTAAACTTAATTTATCAATATTTAAAAATCTTTTGTAATATTTAAAATTTCTATGTAGGCATTTTTTTAAGGAAAATGATAAATAAATACCATTTGAAATTCCAAATTCCAAAATGGTGACACAATTTCTAAAATCCCAAATCAATATTCATGACCAAATTGGAATTTTGATATGTTGATAATTTTACAATTTTGCCTCTAGTAATTTTTCCCTCTTTTTTTAGAATGCCGCCTAAGTATTTCTGGTTGAAGTTTTAGTGCTGACTACTCTTTTAGTGACTTTTTATTTAGCTATCAATTATTTTTACTGAAGTATTGATTATTTTTATATTCAGAGCTCTTGTGACTATTCTTGTTTAAATATTGAAATACTAGATTGCTACTCTGTACCAATCTGTTCTTTGATATATTAGCATTCTTTTTGTAATTTTAGAATTTAAGTGGTTTTTTTGGGAGATCTTTCTCTTTTTAAGGGCATAAGGTTCAAAGATGGAGGAGACATTTTACAAAATTCATGAACTAAAATAAAGCATCGTGTGAGGTTAAAAGATTAAATATCCACTTTTTCACTTTATAAATATAAGAATATGATAATAACTTTAAGCTGGGTGGATAGTAACCAAAGAAGTATTAATAAGAGAGAACTTTAAAAAAAAAAATATAAAAGTTAATTAGAGAATTTATTTTGACCTCAGTTCACAGTGTTCTTAATGTACAATATTTTATCCAAATTATTTATGTCAATGGCTTACAACAAGGGAGTTTAGTTCAAACGTTAATAAATAAAAAAATAAAAACATATTTTTCATAAATAATTAATTTAACTAATTTTTTGTTTTTGAAACATTTTTTTTTGGCCAACTTTGTTTTGAACAATTTGGACATCACACTTTCTGCTTTTGCTTTGGAAGTGAAAAGGGTTGAAGCTCTTCTGTTCATTTTGCGATTAGAGAAGACCGAACTTTCTCTGCTAACTTCAAGTTTAAGCATGTGGGACACAGATAAATGCGAGAAAATCACGGGTACGCGTCAGAATTCTATTGTTCACACCTTGTTTAGCAGACTAGGATCGATGAATACTAGAAGATTCAATAGTTGTACGGTATGTAGAAATATTAATTCAGCCGTCTTAGAAGTCTTTGGTGAAAGTCCCTGCGAACTCCCAATTTTTTTTTCAGTTTAATAGTATATTATAAAATTACTAGCATTGCTTGCAGTGTTGGACGACCAAACCCTTTTTCTTTTTTCTGTATTTCTTATAATCATCATGGTTTTCATGGGATTCAGTGAGAATGCTTGCTTGTTACTTGCTGTTCTCGTGTATCTTTTCACTTTTCTTGTTAGTGGCTTGGACACTGTCGCACCATCTGTGTTGATCCAAGAACGTGAAACAGTGAGCTCGAATAATGGCATGTTCACTCTGGGATTCTTCAGGCCTCGGAATTCCACAAATTGCTACCTAGGAATTTGGTTCATGTCTGAATCCTCTGTTGTTTGGGTGGCTAACAAAAACGACCCACTGACAGATCCTTCAGGGATTCTCACAATATCAGGGAATGGCAATCTTGTTGTTTTGAATGGGCAAAAACAGGTTGTTTGGTCAACCAATGTCTCAATGGCATCAAATTCTAGTGCCCAACTCTTAGATTCTGGCAACCTTGTACTCATTGATAGAACGACTGGCGCATTCCTGTGGCAGAGTTTCCAGCATCCTGATAATACATTATTACAAAACATGAAATTCAGTACTAATATGCAACTTACATCATGGAAAAGTACATCAGATCCATCCTATGGAGGATTTTCTTGCGGCCTTAAACCTCTTAATGCTACTGAAGTGTTTGTATGGAAAGAAAATCATCCTTACTGGCGTAGTGGTCCCTGGAATGGCACACACTTTCTTGGGGTACCCCAGAGTTCATCTATGTCCCTAAATGAGTTTCAGATGCAAGGAGAGCTGGGAGGGAGTTTTGACCTATATTTTCATTACACAGACAAGTCTGCATTGCTAACTCTAAAGTTAGGTCACAAAGGTAAACTCAAAAAACAACGTTGGAATTCTCACACGAATTTATGGGATCGTGAGTGGGTAAGTGAGAATTCTGTGTGTGATATTTATGGCAAATGTGGCCCATTTGGGATCTGCAATTCTCTAAGCTCACCAATTTGCAGCTGCTTGAGAGGGTTTGAACCAAATAACGAAGAAGAATGGGGAAGGCAAAATTGGACCAGTGGGTGCGTGAGAAGAGAAGCACTTCAGCAAGAGAGGGACAAAAATTTTTCTCAAGCCAGCAAGCCAGATGGGTTCTTGAAGCTGGAGAGGGTAAAGCTACCAGATCATGCAGAAGCGTCACCTTCTAACTTTGCCAAGGATTCTGCAGATTGCCAAACTCGATGCCTGAAGAATAGCTCTTGTATAGCTTATGCCTATGATAAAAGCCTTGGCTGTATGGTATGGAATGCAGATTTACTTGACATACAAAGTTTCTCAGTTGGAGGAGTTGATCTTTTCATACGTTTGGCCTACTCAGAACTAGGTATCTCTTTTAATGAAAGAAAGCTCCTTAAAACACTTAATGACACACTTGTTTTCTGTTTAACCTGTATAGGATTTAAAACAAAGGTTCAGATTTAATTTAGGCATTATCTATCTCGTGATGTCTTGTCATTTTAAATATCCATGTGAACGTTGGTACTTCTTATCCTACGTGTGATTGATACTGTTATTAGGTTCTTCCATAAAGTTATCACATGTGGGGTCATTTTTCATTGAAGAGATCTACTAACGTAATGGTTGATAGCAAAACAAGTGCACATGTTATCTAGTTATGAGTGAATTTTATAATAAATGCTTAGGGAATTTCCTTTGTTTTTTAAATTCACTTTTGATGATAATATATGCAACAGTGTTGAACATATTGTCAGAAAATGGAGACTATCTGAATTTCTTCTTTTCTTTGATATAGATAAGGCCAGGAGGAACATGGTAACACCTATTATAATACCAACTCTGATAGGAACAATTTTTATCATGGCCTTGGGATATTTCTTATGGAAGATGAGGTCAAAGCAAAAAGGTAATCTTAAACACTTGCTTGACGTGATTTTTTTTTTTTTTTTGGGCCAACTTGCTTGACATGGATATAAGAAATATAAGAGCATATCTAGATTGAGAGCAGTCATTGAAAACATACTTCTATCACAAAATTTAATACTAATTTTTCAGTATAGAAATTATCATTAGCTTTTAGATAATTGAAGTTAAATTTATCCTTTTCTTTTACACACACATACATATATAAATACATCCTGATGCATGCATACATACAAGGGAAAGATGGAGAGATCATTATTATCATTTAGATATATAGGATGCAAAGAAATTTTGAAATCTTAGAAATTCCTGTGAACATGAGTTTCAGCATTTTGACAAAGATTATATCAGAGCTGGTAGCTGATTCATGGCTATAGTAACCTAGAATTAGAATAACAATATATGTTTCTCAATGATTTTGAGGTGAAAAAATGTGTAAAATGCAGGGAAAACGCAGATGCAGATTCATGACAAAAGAAGGATTTCAAACTTGAAGCAAGCTCATAATCAAGAGCTATCATTTTTTTATTTTAGAAAGTTGGCAATTGCAACAAACAACTTTGACTTGGCAAATAAACTTGGGCAGGGCGGTTTTGGTCCTGTTTACAAGGTAGTTTTCATTTTCTTTTTTAATTTAATTATTTTCCAAATCTTAAGAAATTAGGTCTCTTATCATTTGATTTCAGGGAAAGTTTGAAGACGGACAAGAAATAGCAGTAAAAAGATTATCAAGATCATCTAGGCAGGGCATTGAAGAGTTTATTAATGAAGTGGAGTTGATTTCCAATCTTCAACACCGAAATCTTGTTAGACTACTTGGTTGTTGCATTGAAGAAGATGAAGAGATATTAGTTTATGAATACATGACAAACAAAAGCTTGGATGCATATATCTTTGGTTAGTGTATATTCTGATACCTATTTTACTAAATTTGATGTTTCCTTTCATTACATAAGAGGGATAGGGAAAAAGTGGAAACTTCATTATGTTTATGAATATTTAAAGAAACACATTTTTATAGTATCGCTCTTAGTTTAACTGATGTAAGCTTCCCGTGTTTCGTAGTGATGCATGTTTGTTTATTTTCTTGATATGCATGTTCAATGGAGTGTATGAACATTTTATATGGTCTATTTACAGGGAAATAGTTAAGGACTTAAGGTACATGTCTTAAGTCACAATGCCAAGTAAGTTATTGGGAGTGATGAAGAATCTTCTTTTCAGTGTTTGCTTTTTGTCATCAATTTTTTCCCAAAATAATCCTTTGCAGATCCGCTGCAACAAAAGTACTTAGATTGGAGAAGGCGCTTCAACATCATTGAAGGAATAGCTAGAGGATTACTTTATCTTCATAGAGATTCCAGATTAAGAATTATACATAGGGATTTGAAGGCAAGTAACATACTGTTGGATGAAGAGATGAATCCAAAGATATCAGATTTTGGGATGGCAAAACTTTTTGGAGGTGGTCAAAATCAAGCAAATACAGAAAGAATTGTTGGAACATAGTAAGTTTTTTCCCCCCTTTTGTCCAAGATCAATAGCATATTGAGAACTTAACGATTTATTGTTTAAATGCAGTGGATATATTTCCCCAGAATATGCAACTGAGGGACTCTATTCAGAGAAATCTGATGTTTTTAGTTTTGGTGTTTTGCTACTAGAGATTATTAGTGGAAGGAAAAACACTAGCTTTTATGAAGATGCAGAATCTTTGACACTTTTAGGATTTGTAAGCCTCTTCAATTTGCAGCCTTCTTTCTTGCAAAAGCTTTTGTCTTGATGAAAACAGCAGTTATATTTGACTACTATCATTTTCTCTCGTTATTATTTTCCACAGGCATGGAAATTATGGATCAATGCCAATGTTATACCGCTGATAGATCCACGAATATATGATCCAATCTTTCATGAAGATATATTGAAGTGCACACATATAGGTCTTTTATGTGTACAAGAACTTGCAAAGGATAGGCCTATTATGGCCTCGGTAATGTCAATGCTTCAAAGTGAGATTGTAGATCTTCCTCCCCCAAGCCAACCCGCATTCATCCTTAGGCAGACTATGTCTCATGCAACAGAACAAAGTCCAAGAAGTAATGAATTATGTTCCATCAATAAAGTAACTATCTCTAATTTTGAGGGGAGATAGAAATATATTGCCAAAAATATATTGTTCCTTTTTCTTGTAGTTGTACCTAATTTGGTCCATCTTGCTGGTGAGAATTGGGCATTCCCATCATAATGCGTGATTACTTAACTGGGGAGTTATTGCCAGGATAATGGTCTACTTCCTTGAGCTTGAGCATATTGCTTGTGTATATAGGTCTATATTTTCATATTTTGTAAATTTACTTAGTGGGAGAAATCAGCCGAGGGTGAGTTGAGTAGAAACCTAGACTTTTGTAAGTTCCAGGTGATATTAACAAAAACCTGAAGTTGTTGGTGAGCTTATAAATCTTTTGTACAAGTTGATACCGAGCTTGGAAACCAACCATTGTAATTGTTTTGATGGTGAAGAAAATTCCTTGGGTTCAAGAGGACTTGACCTTGGTAAGTCCAATCAATATTGTTGTATTGTGTAACTTTCCGTCTTTTTATTTATTGATTTTCTAGTTCTATCTATTTTACTTTTAGCTATCTGATTTTATTTTCAAGTCTCTAAATATTAATTTGTTATTGTTACGGAATTACACTGCATTCTTTATTGCTACATTAATGTGTAATTAACCTCCATCTGGTCTCTCATGCCAGCAATGAACGTCTTTATTGTTACATTAATGTGTAGTTAACCTCCATCTGGTCTCTCATGCCAGCAATGAACGTCGTTATCCTCCATTAGGTAGGCACGAGACTTCTCACCTTCCTCCCTCTTTTCTCTTTCAGTTTCTTCCCTCTTGCGAATTGCTGGATATGATTTCTTCCCTCACCCCATATGGTATTTTCTCCCTCCGTCTTTTCTATCTCCCTACATTGGCTCCAATTGATTATCCTACTTTCAGATCCCTTTGTATGTCTTTGCTATTAGTTGAAACTTTTTTTCCCCCTCTATCTTCCTTGATTTTGTGCATTTTACGGGCTGAGTTCTTTTCATTTGTCAATTCTATGTGAAATAAGTGGAGGTTTAGTTACACGCATCAATAAGAGATAGTTTAAACAAACAAGCAAAAGATAAAGGGGAGGTTTCTGGTGTTTGAGCAAAGCATGGGAGAGAGTGAACCTGACGTCAGAGTTTTTGTGGTCTGTCAAGATAATTCAAGATGACTATAATAAGATTAAAGTGAAGAATGGAGGTGAGTTTGTGACGTTTCGAGGGGCTGTTGAGGGAAGAAAGTGGGAGGGAGAAATCAGAATTATAGTGAAGGGGGAGAAGAATATTAGAAATTGTAAAGACATTATATATTTTAGGATCAGATGTTATTAAGATGTTACTCTTAGGGTATTATCATGTCATTACGAGCCATAAATGCCTAGGCTTATCTCTCCTGTATATACTTACCTTTTGATCATGAATAATACAAGAAATTCAGATTCCCTTACCCTACGTCCTAATAGAAATTACAGATATGAGATATCTTCCTCCTCTGTTTAGTATATCGGATCTTCCTTATATTAGAATATTAGACAGCAAAAGAATGAGTTCCTTCTTTGTCTAGCATAATCTCACAATTTGTTTACTAACTATATCGCAAGGAAGTAAGTCCTTTTCTCTGGCATATCACAAATTGGATCTGTCTGTATAGTATATATGATTTATACGTCAGTGTTTGGATTGTTTTCTGTTTAGTATATATATTATATTGAGGCTGTATATCAAATGATTTTGAGGGCTTAGGTGAAATTGCGTTCTATAGTCATGTAGAAGGTGGAGAGATCTACTTTGATGATAACAGCTTGATAAGCTACATAGAGTTTATCTCTTAGTTGACTTTTTCTGTATTCATTTTTTCTTTCATGTGTGTGATGCTAACAAAAGTAGCATATTGTTTATAACTTTGAATTGTTGCTTTATAATTGTGTAAGTTTTATTTTATACTGCTATTTGTATGATAACCTTGGGTGAAGTCAATCAAGATGGGAGGGTTCGTTCCCTCCAAAACGTGTAATGGCATCTTTTAAGGGAGTAAACACCTTTTGCTCTAAGTTTTTGACTATAAGCACCTCAGCAACTAAACAGCAAAAAGCAATATGATGCTCAAGTCAACAAGCATCATTTCGGCCTATAATAGAACTGCCTGCATTTCACCTTGATTTTGTCATAATTTTGTTAAAGTTGAAGTGGGTATTGTGTTTCTTCTGTTTCTGATAAGTTACCTAACGCAAGTAATTTGACTTGACCATAATTTTAAAATAATTATATCTAATCTGTTCATCATTTAAAGAAATTTGACTTGTCGGATAATGAGATGGTGCTTTATAAGAAATTCACTTCAATGTCAGTGTCTGAATGATCTGAAGCTAAGAGGATGCATAAAGTGCAGCTATATTTTATCTGTGATTAGGAGCTGCAAATTCTTTTCTGGACCAATACATGTTAAAAATTAGGAAGAATTATTATAAGGCCTCAAGGAAAGGGTTTAATTACCAAAAAGTTTCAATGACAAGGGAGCAGTTTAGATGTGTTGTCATTTTCTATACTTGTCATTGCAAGTTCTTTAGCTGTTAACAGATTTTTTGGTAATTAAATTTTTTCTTTAGAATTTAATAGTGATTCTCCCTAACAATTATTCAATCATAGTGGGAATCCTGGTTATCAATGTTCTAGACCTGGTTGTTTCTATAGTAGCAGAGCCTTATGATTATCTTCCTTGGTCTGTTCCTGTTAGACTTGCTAGTAGTAAACTTGATACACTTGATATATAAACACTTGGGTATCCGGCTAGTGGTATCAAAAACTGCATTTGAAACTATGATATATTTTTTTAAAGTCTATGCAATTGATGTATCTAATGTTAAGGTTGCTGCATGGGCATTCTTTTGAGTCTCTTTAGCATCTCCAATTTTACAGGCGTGTTAATTCTAGTAAGACCAGATAGATAATTTTGTATGATAATCATCTTAGCCTATTTTTTTGTGATCTGAAATTGTCAATTGCTATTTGACAGTGATATGCAAGCTGGATCATTTACCTACACCGCTGGGACTCGTGGCATAACAAAAGTACGACATGATTCTTCACCAAATACTTGGCGTCATATAGGAATTTGCGCTTCACTTGTGTTTAATTCCTATATTACTGTAACTGTACTTTATTTAGAAGGTCATGCATATCATTGTTCACGGGACGGACCGGGACCGGGACAGGCCCGTCCCGGTTCCGTCCTGATGAACAGTAACGGGACAGATTTTCTGTCCCGACCCGTCCCGGGGTTGTCCCGGTCCCGGTCGGGACGGGACGTCCCGAAATAATATTTTTTTTTAATTTTTTTAATTTTTTTAATTTTTTTTAATTTTTTTAAAAAAATCTAATTTTTTTAATTATATTTTTTTGAGCTTAAATCTTATAAAAAACATCTTTTTTATTTGTTTGGGCACTCTTAAACAAAAGCTCAAAATATTACATATAATAGTTATTAAAAACTCTAAACAAAAGCTTTTAACACAATAAAAACTTGCTAAAAATTCTAATCATCAATAATCTCAAATCATTAACAAATATAAAAACTCTAAATAAATATATCCATAGTTCCATACAATAGTCTCAAATCTTAAAAAAAATATGAAAAAATGATATTATATAAAAAATTAAAAAAATTAATTTTTTTTAAAAAAAAGGGACCGGGACGGGACGACCCCGTCCCGTGTCCCGTCCCGTCCCGTCCCGAAAAATTTTGGGACGGATCCGTCCCGTCCCAATAAGATCGGGACCGGAACGGGCCGACTTTGAACACCCCTAATATCAGTGCTTGGAAGAATAAATTTCGGATGAGATTTATTAAATATGATGATTTTGAGTACAATGGATTTTATGAAATTGTTCATGGTTGGATGATGTTTTCTGATATTGATTATATTAAAAATGTTTAAATTATTATTATCACAAATCATTTTTTTGGTGCAAATTACCTTAAAAGGACTGTTTTTGTGAAATTTACCAAAACGAAAGTTTAGATATATAATCAATCTTTGCCCATAAAATATTTCATTATGGACATTTAACACCATAAACATCTTTAGGGTATAAAAGTATACATGAAATTTTTTAAAGATTATGTAAAAATGCCATGGCTATTAAGTCACCTAACACTGATTTTTTAACAAATATGTTAATAATGAAAATAGTGTAAAATGCACCTGAAGTTTCCAATGGCTATAGCATTTTTGCACCATTTTGAAAACACCATAGGTATTTTTATATCATTTTTTTTTATCTACATGTTTGTTAAGCAATCAACATTAGTTGACTTAATAGCCATGGTAGTTTTATACAATTTTAAAAGCTTCATGTATATTTTTGCAACAACAAAAGTTTATATTGTTAGACGTTCATAATGAAATAGTTCCATGAATAAATTTTCACTTCAAGAAAAATTAATCCTTAATTTATATCCTAACTAGGCAGTTAGGCCCTACTCGGCTAGAGCTTCTTAAGAGGAAGAGATAAAGACTGAGTGTGTTGGATTAGGAAAAATAAAAAAAAAGATAGGAGGTATAAAATTTTGTACTTTTGTAATTCCCTCCTTCTCTTCCTCCCCTTCAAAATTTTAGGGATTTTGTGATGGTGAGAAATATTATGTCATGCTGGAAAAAAAATTAGCAAAATATTATGTAACATCCCAACTAATTTAATTAGCCATGCCTATCTTTTAATATCTTAAGGGGGAAAATTGGCTAAAAATCCTATTTAACAAAGTAATTGGGAATAAGGCTTGCAATGAATGTAAAGGTCTGGACCTCTCGAGTATGAGTAAGTGTGATAAAAGCATATCACATCACCTTGATAGATGTTAATTACATATGAGAATCCTCACGAATTGACAAATGTTCATTTACATATAGGTTTCTTACGTAAAATGGATGCTAATTGTATATAGTAGATGATTACTTACATATGATTGATCCCTAATAGCATATCAGTCTTTATTGCATGTTATTCATTAATACAAATTCTAATTACATATGATAGATGCTCACTTACATATGTAATTAGTATTCGTATAATGCAATAATATAAGAACCTATATGCAAATAAAGATTTGATTACGCAATAAACCCATATGTAAGTAGGGATTTATCATATGCAAATAAGCATTTGTCATATGCAAGTGAACATCTATCATAAACAAATGAACATCCATATTACATTATCAACCTATATGCAAGTAAGTACTCATCATATGCAAATGAGTATCTGTTATATACAATTAACATTTGTATTACATAGTAAACCTATATGCAAGTAGGCGTATGTCATATACAAGTGAGCACCATCATATGCAATGAGTTGTATGTAAATAAGTAGCCATCATATGCAATTAGTCAAATGCAAATGAGAATCCGTTACATGCAAATAAGAATCCATTATGTACAAGTGAAGATTCATAATATGCAATTTGTATCTGTTAGGGTAATATGATCTTCTTTCTATCATACTTACTAACATTTGAGAGGCCTATACTTTTACATTTATTGCAAGTCTCATTTCCT